TACAAATTTTGTATCTGCTCAGGGCTCTATTGAGGTCTTAAATATCCTCAAAACAAGGGCACATGGGCATTTTCCTGCCATTGTGACTCAGCCTAGAGGTGGAGAGCCCAGTTCTCAGATTAGATGGTAGGCTTCTCAAACTGTGCAGTCGTAGGCCTAAAACACTTGGGGGGAGGGGGGTGCTAGCCACTCTGGGATAGGGTTACTTTGACTCGGGTCTGTGCACTGCAGTGTGGACACCAGAATCCTAGGTTCAAGCATGGGTCAGAAAATCCTTAATCTAGGGTTAAAATGCAGTGTAGATGCTCAAGCCCAGGGTTCCCTGACACTAGTCAGCTGACTCAAGTCCCACGAACCAGAAGCTTACATTGCTGTGTAGGTTTCAGAGTGGTAGCCGTGTTAGTCTGTATCAGCAAAAAGAACAAGGAGTATTTGTGGCACCTTAGAGACTAACAAATGTATTTGGGCATAAGCTTTCGTGGGCTATTGATTACTCTCGTTATAGTTAGTATGGCAACACCCATTTTTTCATGTTCTCTGTGTATATATACATACACACCTTCCTACTGTATTTTCCACTACATGCATCTGATGAAGTGGGCTTTAGCCCATGAAAACTTATGACCAAATAAATTTGTTAGTCTCTAAGGTGCCACAAGTACACCTCGTTCTTATTGCTGTGTAGGCATGCCCTGAGCGTCACAGCTAAATACAAGGTGGAACAGATTGTTTAGCATAAGTAGTTAACACATATTTGAAGGGAACATTCAAGATAAAGTGGCCCGTTAGACCCCTACAGTCATAGGCAGGAATGAAGGGTGGGGAAAAGGCAACTGTAGGGCAGCGGTTGTTAGTGGCTTATAGATTCTTGCAATAGGCCTTAAATCCAGCGTCTCTATTCAGTCCATGATTTTAAGTCTAGCAAAGATATGAATTTAAGCTCCCGCGCTCGTCTTTTGAAAGTGTTGTGCAGGTTTCCTTTGAGGATGAGGACTGATAGGTCAGATATAGAGAGTGATCAGGATTAGGGCTGAGGAAGCCCCATAGAGGGCACAGAGCCTATGTGCTGATGACCCTGTCTCTCCTGAAAATACCAGAGAGCTGCAGATTTCAGGGACTGAATCCACCGCTTGTCTGAGGACGAAGGCCAAACCCACCACAAGATGAATGAATCAGGAGGAAACTAGTTTTGTTAGTTTCCTTTGTTAAGGGAATATTGTAGGATTTTCTTGCCCACTGCAACTCCTCCAGTTGTTTTTTCCATTAAAGGGTATGATAGGCTCACATGTTATTAAGTTCCTCATTTTCACGCATATTAGATTCAGTCACAGATTTAATTAACTCACAAAAAGAAAAGGGCAATTGAAGAAAGAAATTCATCTTCACTAGGCATATGTTTATGTCTATAACATATAACGTTACTCTGATGTGCTTGCTACCGAGAGATTGAAAAAGAGAGCGTGTGGGTTTTTTATTCTCTCAGTTTGTAAGGAGCATAAAACACAATTATGCCTACAATACATTTCAGAACATTTTTTCCAATGACCTTTTAGGGCACAGTAAAAAAAATTTGTAGGTAGAGCTGGGTGAAATGCGTTTGGGGGGTGGGGGACACAAAATATATATTCTGAAGTTTTCAAAATAAGATTTTTATTTGGGTGGGGGGAGAATCATGAATTATTAAACAACACAGGCACTAATGCAGAATCTTGAAGTACCTCACTGTTCACCTTTCGCCAGGATAAAAGTTGACCATTCAAATCCAACTTTTTGTTGCCTGTCTCCTACCCAGTTCTGGATCCATAACTATACTTTGTCTTTAGCCCCATGACTACTTAGTTCCCTTAGTAGCCTGTTGTGAGGTATTTTGTCAAAGGCCTTTTGAAAGTTTAAATAAATTATATCAGCTGGTTTTCCTTAATCACCTACTTTATCGATCCATTTGAAGGACTTTCCTTTGCAGAAAATGTACTGGTTATACCCTACCATGACCTTCCAGGTTTTTCATTCTACTTTTTGTTATAATTTCTACCAATTTCTCTGGTACAGATATAAGGGCTTATTTGTCTATTTTTCAGGATCACCCCTAGAGTTTTTTTAAAAATACATGTACATTTGCTTCTCCTCACTGCTTTCCTATAGCAGCAGTAAGAGAGAAATTAAGAGACAGATTTTCTCTTAATATACTGTGACAGCTCATGACAGAGCCCCAGGCCAATTCGCTTGTGTATTAGTATAGATCAAAGTGATTATTAAATGTATAAGAGTATTTGATGTTTAAACTTCATGAAAACTAGTGGGATATTTCTTGCATCCTTTTCACTTATCTGGATCCCATTATAATGTAGTAGCAATAATAATGATAATTCTCCTTTCCTTTTCTTAGCTAATAAACCTTAGTCAGTTTACTACAGAATTGGCTGCCAGCGTTGTCTTTGGTGTAAGACCCCAGATTAATTGGTACTCTAGATAAGTGACTGGTCTCTTGGAAGCTACCTAAATGTGGTGTGATTTTTGGTTTAAGTAACCTTTTATCACAAAGCCCTGTTTGTCTGGGTGACAAGACAGGCTGAAGAGTCTAAGGCAGTGGTGGGCAATCTGCGGCCCATACGTGGCGTGGGCCTGGCTGCCACTTCCCGCAGCTCCCTTTGGCTGGGAATTGTGAACTGAGGCCACTGGGAGCTGCGGGCAGCCATGCAAATGTAAACAAATGGTCTGGTGGCCCACCAGCGGCTGGCCCGCAGTCTGCAGGTTGCCCACCCCTGGTCTAAGGAGACTGTCTGTGACTCCATGGTAAGACTGATATAGCGTTTCTCTGGATTGAGGCCAGAGTTCTCAGCACATTGCAGAATCAAGCCCTACAATAAGAAAATGAGGGGAGGGTGTGGGGGAGGGAGAAATCACAATCTTTTTCGAAAGCATTCCAAAACATGAAAACCCTCCTGTTTCACAAACCTAATAAGGGAAATCATGCAGCAAGTTATGTTACTAAGAAAGTTTGTTTGATTTTGCCAGCTGTCTCTTCAATACAGTCTCTGGAGGAGACAGCGGGAAACGAGTTTTCCTGCTACAGTTTGCCAGCAAAATGAAAACGTGAGAAAGTGACAATGAAAAACAGCACATATGGGCGACAGTGATGAATTTGCTAAGACAAAAATTTGCATTTAAAAAACAACGCCTTTTGCATTGGTGATTACTATTATGATCACTATCAAACCCCCTAATTTAAATGTGTGTGAGACATACATACATACACATTTTTATTCATACAAAAACTACATTAAAATAACCCCTAAATCAGGAAATTCCATGGACAGACTTAATCCTGCTCTTTTCTATGCCTGCTTTACAACAGTCATAAATTAGATGCTACTGTTCAACTAACAGAAGATCACACAATACTTCCTACAACCTGAGATATACATGTGGGGAATCTTGAAATACTACAATTAAAAACAGAATAAAAGTAATTTATTATCAGAATGGTTCACTATATCATTACACCATAGACATGGTATATGATAAGTTAACTTCTCTCTTAGGTAAGTGACTTGCTCAAAGTCACACAGGAAATCTATGGCAGGGATAGGAATTCAACCTAGATCTCCTGAGACCCCTTCCCGTACCTTTATCCCGAGATCATCCATAGATGGGTATTCAGACACTTTTGTTAGCATCCATTTACTATATATTTTCTTTGCAATAAGCAGTGCAGCGTCTTTAGGTGCAAGTTAGCCAGTTAATTACAAAGCTAACTTAGCTGTGAATTAAGGTGGTCAATATGCCAGCAAATTGACATATAGGTTGTATGTCACATGTAGGTTGCATAAGTAATGTTCATTGTGTCCTTGCCAGACAGTATAAATGACTTTCTCTGATTGTCTGGCACTCACAGAGCAGTAGGTGATACTGCAAGAAACTGTCCCTAGGTAACTAAAGCTGAAAAAAAAAAGATGTTATATTGAATGTTAATAGTAGTATGTGGGCATGAAATTGAAGTAAGAATTATAATGTACTGCAAATACAAAAGGGTGCAGAGTCCAAGACTGCACTTGCAATGTTAACTTTGTTACTTCCTAACTTTTGAGCACTTCATGGTTCAATTGCAATGTTCTCATTTCAAAGCTTGACTGGATTGCAAAAACTATCAATAGCGCATGAAGAGCCTTTGGATGCGGTAAGTCCCTTGACTTCATTGGAGCTATGTTGCTTTACATCAACTGAGGATCTGTCACCAGAATCCATTGTCTAGGACGGTTTGATTAGATACCACTGAAAGACTCTGTCCAGTGTGTCTTAGGAGGACCACAGGAGGGAGCCCCTCTCCTGCAGAGCCAGAGAGTGGAAAGACATTACAGAGTGCCATTAAAGCCAAAGCCTGCAACGTTTTAAAGGATAAACCTCATAAACCCATGTATTAAGAGGGCAGAAGGAAAACATGAAGGAGCGGTTTGTTTACTCCTACTTCTTTTGTTTCATCCATTTAAAATAGGGCTTGATCCAGCCCCCATTGGTAAATGGGGATGGGGGAGTGAGTGGGATCAGACAATGTAAAACTTCCGTTACTTAAATGGGACAAGACTAGGCTCATAATATGGCAAAGTGACTTTCATGTACTTTTTATGGATGAGATTTCAGTTATGCACCAAGTAGATGCATGATGATGACATCATCAAAGAGTCCTAATCGGAACATAGCCTGGTTCTGGCCCTGAGTGTTTGCACCCCTATGTTCATACACTGCAAAGTGAATCAGGAATTTGGGGTTCTATTCCTGGTTCTGCCTCTGGCTTGCTGACCTGGGGCAATTCACCTTTATCTCTGTGCCTAAATTTCCTCATCTGTTAAAGTGAGTACAAGAATATGTATTCCTCACAGAATTATTCCTAGGCTCGAGAACCTCATATTGAAAATATTTAAAAAACATAACTTTGTCACATCAACATCTATGATATAGATGAAACCTTCTCCTTGCTGATCAAGAAAGAATGTGCTTTCTACCTTTTCTCAATTATACTGGGATTAGCCGTCACCAGCTGGGTCTTGGATCCAACATCCTTGGTGTATTCACTGGACAGAGGAGGAAGGTTGCATCTGCAGAAACAAAGACATCCAAGATTTTTAATTGTCATGTTCCAGTTTCAGACTTTTTATATTGTAGGAATCCAGTTTGCACATAAGGTCATGCAAGCTGACAGAAAATTTACAATACTAATATTGGGCCAAATGACAACATGATTATGGGCTAAATCTTCAGAATTGCTTATACTTTATTTAAGCATCAAACTCTCCCAATATGTGTATCTACAAAAGGGTATTTTTGCACTAAAATGTGGGTAAGTGCAAATTTATGCACTTTTGAAGAGATGGTCCTATATCAGTGTATTGACAGTAAACTCTGAAGCAAATAATGAAAAGTGCCTAGATTTATATATTGAATGTCCCTGCTAATAGGCTATAGGCAAAAGGGGACATTATGCACAGAAATACATTTCAGCTAACCTTTTTAAAATCCCATTCCCCTCTGTACTTTTCCTTGTTGGCTGACTGTGTCCCAGAATGCATCATTCTGTGACATCACAACCATCATGGACTACATATCTTGCAAACTATGAAACTCGTGGTATTTTTGATGTCACGTTCTGAAATCTCTTCAGTGGAACAGAAAGTACCAACTGGACTCCAAAGGTGGAGGAAAAAAATATTTGTTAGTGGTTACTTAACATGAATTTCTGTGTTTGAATGCATCCCACAACCTGGCTGCAGGAGACATTAAGTACACTACTCTACTTTGCAGGTCATTTTTAAGAAAGAAGATAGGTAAAGGGGAACACTGAGAGAAACAAAGTGACAGAAACTACTGTCACTGAAACTAGACCCAACTGCAGACACAATGAAGAGATGAAAAGTGGAAATAATGCTAAATGTAGGCCAAAGTGCACCAACATCCATGCATTGTTATAATCCCTATGAATACATCCTGTGCAGAACCATGTCACTTGCCTGCTTCACTCACTGAAACTGCAGCATAGGGAAACAGAGTATGATCTAAGGCAGCATTTCTCAAGCTGGAGGTCCTGACCCAAAAGGGGATTACAAGCCCATTGTAGGGAGGTTACGGTATTGTCACCCTTACTTCTGTGCTGCCTTCAGAGCTGGACGGCCATAGAGCGCTGGCTGCTGCCTAGGCACCCAGCTCTGAAGACAGTGCCGCTGCCAGCAGCAGTGCAGAAGTAAGGGTGGCCTGGTCTGCAGGAAGGTCATCATAGCCTGAAATATTTTCAAAGAGGGTCCCAACAAAAAAGATTTGAGACCCCTGGTCTAAGGGAAGGAAAGGGGGTATGGCCAACTGTAATAGCCCTGCTTTTTATGCTCCCCCCAAAAGTGCGTGCTCAGAAGAGGTGCAAGCCAAGCCAAAAGTAAAACAGCCTCTGGCTGTTTTAACCTACACAGGCAACTGCACTCAACCCAGTGGCTATGGGGACTCAAAAGTCAAGCAGGGCAGGCTCCAGCATAGACAGCAACATCATTTCATATTCATTCCCTTTTCTCCTGTTACCAGGATGACACAGATTTCTTTGGCCCAATTCAGATCCTCTTGCTCCTGTGAAAATCTACCTTTTTTGTGGCACTATACTCTTCCCGAACTCTCTTTAGCTCCTCTTTCCTGGATGTCCTGTGTTTATAGGACTGACCAGATATAAAAGTGTGCTCCACCAGTCTGTTCCTTTGTGCACTACTTCCAGGAAATAGAAGAACAGGAGTACTTGTGGCACCTTAGAGACTAACAAATTTATTAGAGCATAAGCTTTCGTGGACTACAGCCCACTTCTTCGGATGCATATAGAATGGAACATATAATGAGGAGATATATATACACACATACAGAGAACATAAACAGGTGGGAGTTGTTTTACCAACTCTGAGAGGCCAATTAATTAAGAAAAAAAAAAAAAAAAAAAAAAA